ACTGTACATAGGCTGTAATAATTATTGTATACCTTGTATTTTAAGTTTACATTCACTCATCATGAGCATGGCTGTCATGGTAACATGGTCCTTCTGATGTTTCTGTAAACCAATCTCTGTGCAGCGCACGATTTTAATAAGTTAAAAAAAAGAATTCATTTCTGATTTTCTGTACAGTCCACATCCTCGCACGATTCTGGGGAGATATTGGATCAATTTTCAACCAGAATTGGTAGAATTCATTTAAATTGGTTGGTTTCCTAAAACGGTCATGGCCTTTAAGCACGGTCCAAAGATGAACTACAGGGTTGTTGCTTTGGGAAGCCCGTTCCAAAAACTCGCTTTATTCATTCTGAAACCAGTTCTTATATCATTTAACTATTATTGTAATACTAATACTGAGGACGCCTAACTGTATCAAAAGCTTTAACCATCTGGCTGTTGATTTGAGGTGAATTTGAGAGATTTTACTCTATTTCTTGAACCTGATAAGGTTAAGTGGAAGAGGATCCAAAACTTAGGCCCTTGAAGGGATTTTACTGGAACTAAGAAGGCCAACTGAAGTCATTAATTTCTTGACCTGTGTGTTTTTCCTTTGCCAGGATTATTTGCAAAGCTTCTGGTCAGATCTGCAGGCAGCCCATGAACTGTTTAGCTCCATTTCTCAGGCACAACAAGAGACAGAGGGTGACGATGGGGAGAAAGAGTTTCCCGAACATCTTCCCGCTGAAGTCCTGGAGGCTGGTATAAAGTCTGAACGTTACATTCAGGTAAAAATTTACCAACCTGTTGTTGGGTCTAACGCTTAAACCCCGCTGACTCAGCGCTTTCTGTCTTTTACTTGCTGCAAGAGGAGAAGCTCTTCATCTCCAGCCTTCCCTCAAAGCCCTTTTATTAACTTCAGTGGTTACACAAGCATCAACATTAATCATGCGACAGATAAGACACTCACATGTGAACGTGTGTGTATGTGTATGTGTGTGTCTCTGTGAGCATGTGATGTGATCAGCAATATGTGTGTGTGTCTGTGTAGAAAACAGAGGTGAGCATTCATACTAAAGATCTAATCATCTTGTGCAATGACAAACATATTGATCCACAATTCTCTAACTCCTGTTTTAAGTATACCGGATCTCTCTTTAAAACACGAGTTTAAAACAGCAGCAGGAACAAAGTTTAAATATTTTAGTAGCTTTAAGTCTGTTCATTTTTCAGAGAAACTGCAGGTACCTTTAATACATATACTAATCTATACTAACGAAATACACTGAGTGTGCTGAGGAGTATTTGAGGGGCTGATGAATAAAGAAAATGAGATGAAGAGCAGGACTGTTATTGAACGAAGAAGATATGAACTGTCTCTAATTTTTCTTGTAGTTTAATTTTAAAGGAGAGAGACAGAAAAAACCATTATTATTAAAAAAAAAAAGTCATAAAGGGATTGGCAAGTTATTTTCAGTGAGTCCCCAAGCAAAACATGGCTTAGTATTTGGGGTAGAGACCTTTGTTGCCAAGCACAGTGGTAAGACTTCTTGGTATCAAGTGGAGTAGTATGTTACCAGTGGGGTTCTTGAAGGCTGCGGTCCAAACTGCCTTCGGACCATCCATGGTCCGAAGGCACTTACTTTTCTTATGTTAAGAAAAGTAATGAGCAATGTGCAATACATAACTTTTTCAGGTAACGACTCCAACATTGGTGAAGAGGTTGTAATTAGGCTGCCACGATTAGTCGACTAGTCACGATTA